AATAAAAACCAGACAGCAGTCTTAGTGTAATCAGTCATTGCTTATTTCTGTAAGGCATCAAAAAGGATAAAATCACACTGATATTTGTTCATTTGTTACCAGCAAACCGTTTCCTTAAGGAAGACAAATGTTCTTATTTGACTTTAAGGACTATAGCAAATCAAGTTAATATGTTTTCTGTAAAATTGTGAAGTAGTAAGTAAATAGTAGGTTGTAAATTGTAAATAGTCACTGGAATTTGTTCTTTGTAATTATTTATGTCATAATTTTGATTTACTGTAAATTGACCATTTTGATGTTTATTGTCCACTTCATACAGAGGACCTTGCTACGACAAAGCCCGGGGGGGCGAAAGGCACATCAGCCGAACCAGAGAGAGATTTGTGCAGAGGTTGAAAAGGAGCGTTGCAGGACAGTGGTTATGTGCAAGCAGGGGGAGCTTGGACTAATTGGGATGATACAGCTGCTCCTAAGATCACCTGGGCAGAACTTTGGAAGTGTGAACCAGCTAGGGTCAAGTTTCTGATCCTTCAGAGCCCAGTGAATTACTGGGTCTAGCCAATACCCCGCCATGCCCACGCTGCCTAGCAATCTTGGACCACATTTGGAGCTGTTGCCTGAAATCTTGAAAGAGGTGAGTCCAGGTGTAGCCATGACCAGGTGCTGAAGGCAGTAGATGACACCAACTGTACTAGAGTCCAGTTGAGCAAACATGAGCCCCAACAAGGCACATCACCTTTGTTAAGGTGGGAGGAGAACCTCAGATGGAGCTTAGGGCCTCAACTGGGCTGCTAGCCTCAGCTTGTGACTAGCAGCTGACAGCATCCCATGAAAGCAGCATAAGCTTCCAAAACATACTGCACACTCGGGCCAGACTGGGTCTTTTTCTGGACACCTAATAGATTTTTTTTCTTTTTTTGCCAAAAAGCTGTAAAATTTCATGTTTGAATACTAAAACATTGAGCTGAAAGGCACTAAAAAGCTCTCTAGAGAAATGTAGAGTTGGATGATATTGCTCTATGAGTTTATCACCATGAATGATTCTTTTCACATTAAATACCCTGATTTATTTTATGGTTCCTATGAAAATGTTGATTAGAGCAGCTTTAAAGAATCAATTCCACTGAAACTATGAGGTACAAATGTATTGCAAGTAAAATGTTTGAGCAAGTAGCAGTATTGAGGGAGCGTTGGAGTTTGCCTTACAGTAATAGCTCTACAGGAAGGTCAGAAACAGATGGATTTCTTCTTGGATACCTACTGTATTGAGGGGGTGATGATTTTAGGGTCAGAGGTCTAATAATATGTAGGGGAGTTTAGCATGCTAAGTGGCCACTACACCAGATGTGGCTAAAAGAAACCAGAGGTCAAAGGTGAAGGTTAAGGGGCTGACTCTTGGTAACCAAACCAGTAAAGGACCAGGTGCATGAGAATCAGCTATCATCTTGAGTATATTAAATCAATAGCTTCACAAACCCTCCCACTTTACCACCATAAAGGTTGTATCATCATCCACAGCAAAAGGTGATCAGAAAAACAAGTAACTGTGAAATGAAGTGGAATAACAGACACCAACATGGTGGTGGGATGTCATCCAAGAATGCCCTGTCTTTAATGTTGTGCTGAGTTTGTGCAATATCAACTAGGTGAAGCAGGAGAGCTCTGTCCTTCAAGTGTTTATCACCAGTGCCTGGAGAGCCAGATGCTTCCTCCTCATTCCTAAAACAGTGGGATATCAGACAATGAAATACTAATACACTGACGCAACTGCACTGACTATTATCTATCGCTTTTAAAAACCAGTAATGATTCAAATCTCTGCATTGCAGCAGCTGGTAAAACTTTGATGGAGCCTTGAAGAACCTTCTTATTCAAATTTAAGCCTAAACATTTGTCTTCCACCAGTCACTAGCTTAAAGGAGAGCCCCTGGTCAAAAACAAAAGGGGGGCCTTTCTCTTTGTTTGGCTGAGCTGTTCAGCTGTGGTCTCTTCTTTGCTTGTAATGATTGGCCTGGTGGGCTGCGTTAGCCCCTCCCAGGCTAAAGACTGAAGTTGACTGATGGATTGGTTTGTCCAATCGGTTTGGGTTTTGGCAGCTGGGGACTCACACTGGAAGAAGGTTTCAATATTCCCAGGAGACAGAGTTTGCCATTATGTCCAAACCTAGCAGCTCAAAACACAAACTGTTTTTCTGTTTGACAAATGTTCATATTAGGATCACTGGGCTCTGAGATTTGGGAGCTGTCCAGTGCTGAAAAGGTGAACAACTCTTGCTACTGTACAGTCACAGTGAAGTGTTGTTAGGTCTAAAGCACATTCATATTCTGGCTGTAAACTGACCGCAAAGTTCAGAGACATCATAAAATTCCCATTTTAATCTTAGTTTGCCATCTAGCCCACCGGTAGATCAGCTGTATATGAAGTACTTTTAGGATAAAATAAAACAAAGACTACAAAAAGGAAGCCTCATACATTTGCTGCAATACAATGCTCCCCTTCTGACTGCAACAAAAATCAACACATTTTCATGGCAACATCACCATAAAGCAACAATCTTGCAGCTGTCTCACAGGTGAAGCTTATTTTTATTTTATCATACCTACTCTGCTACAAGCGAGCACCGTTACTGATTTGCATTTATATAGCACCATTGTGTTAGCTATTAAGGCTGTATTAGGTGGGAATATACCCCATAATTACCCAAGTGACATATTAGAGTGTGCACTTTCATACCACAGAGAACAATAGGAAACCCTGACTGAGATTTGGCTTCCACAGAGAATACACCAACAGCAAGGCTCCTGAAATCTATGAATGTGCAAATTCATAGCAGTAAACTGGAAGGAAAAGTACACATTTATGTCCAGCAGGGCTATAATGTCTCCTCTGATTCATTTCATTTAAAAAACTACTACGTTTTCAGGCTGGCTAATCTGTAAATTAGTATGTAGAGTAAAATGTCACAAAATAGGTTTTTTAAGGCTGAGCACAATTTATCAAAACCAAGGAGAGGTCTTACAGTCTTTTGTTTTATATTTTTGTGCTGTTGTTGTTCAATCAACAGTCCAAAACCTAAAGTTACTAAACTTACACAACACAGAAAAACAACAAATCTTCACATTTGAAAAGCTATTAGTCAACAATCAAAACAGCTGCTGATTAATTTTCTATCAATCTGTTGTGTATTAAAATGCTAGACAATGCTGACAAACGTTATCAAATTGCTAAACCTATCAAGTTTCCTATCACATCAGATAAAGAAAGGCAACAAGTCCTCACAATTTAGAGGCTTGATTTAAAGTACTTCTGGCATTTTTGCTTGAACAATGATTTAGATTTGTTGTCAATCATGTTTTGGTCAACTAACAGAGTCACTGACAAATCCTTTCAGCTTTCTTGTGTTTAATCAATTTAAAAGCATTTCACGACTTCTTTTTTCATCTTTCACTGATGCAGAGTGACTCCTTGAATTGCACACAGCTCACAGCCAGACGTGACAAACAACACTAAGGTTGAGTGCAGTAACAGACAAAGATGCAGCTGAGCTGAGCTCGTACTCTATTTTAGACCCTTCTCTTCTCTACAGCACTCTGTGATCCCTCTGTTCATATGAGTGCAGTCTTCTACATACACCGATGAACTCAAACATACACTCAACTTCTGTATGCTTTGCCGGGAGTCGTGGATGCCCACACAACCTTTCAAACACACACGGCAGACATGGTGAAAAATGCATGCAGTAAACTTTCAGTTGGGTCTCCTAACATCAGTCCTCATACTCTCCTCTCCCCTCATACCACAGACACTACTTCTCTGTTATCTCTCATTCATATGCATTTCTTCAGCTCGGGCTCATCTAACGTGGCGTTGCCTAGTTAACCTCATCCTGTCTTATGGCACTAACAAAGCTGGTGGTAGGCACACTAACAAGGCCAAGGAAGAAAAGACTTGGACTCCTCCAGATTAGAGTGGCTGAGCAGAAACAGAATAGACCTTACTGGGCTGCAGGGGCTCATATACTCAGACAATACAGCTCATTTGTCAAGGTGACCCAAACTGTTCTCCTCTTTCACTATGATTTGACAGGCCAGTGTTTATTTACAGAGCAGACAGCCATCAGTATAAGACCATCAAAGGCCTGTACACCAGCTTGCAAACAGGCAGTCATTCATTTTGCCATCTTTTTTTTTGAATTTCAGCTCCAAAGCAAAGTTAATTTTCCAAGGCATGAGGTGCTGTAATGTAAAGATATAATTCTGTGTGACTGACACACTGCTCACAAAATGATTAGATTTCTCTGATGCCAGGCCCAGCTGACAGCTCTGGAGGTGGATCCGATTTTGGCAGTTATTCAACACACGTAATTCGTTCACCAAGCAACTGATTTACATAATACATTTCACCTATTCAAGTGTTTAGACCTGCTTCTACAATCGCATCACTCAGCAGAAGGTATCCTCCCCCTCGGATTTCTTTTAATTTTGGCATCTGTGAAGGAGGAAAATGTGAACCAAAGAATAAAGTTCCTCTAATGTGAAGACAAGCTATGGTGAGATGAAACCATGTAAACCACACATTAACAAGGTTACTTGGTGAGTTGATGATTTATGCATGCTCCTACATGGATCGTAAATATAGACCAATATTAAAAGCTCTGACCTGTAAATAATTAAAGATATCCCAAACGGGAGCGATTTGTGTGAAGCTGACGCTGTGGTCGTGAGAGGGGAAAGGCAAGGTCTATTTAGATTTATTAGATATACATATAACTAGTAAGATTCCTTTGCAATGACCTGCCCTGTTTTTGCTTCAGTTTAACAAAAGTGCGTTTTTATTTTAACCCAACATTCATCCACTTTAACCTGTCTTCCCGCAGCTGAGCGGTCTCAGGCGCCTCCTGCCACCCGGCGACTTGATACAACACACTGACCAAATAACTGATATAATAAAATAAAAAACATGCTTGCGAGGCAAATTATTTTTCGTGCTATCACTCCTACCTTATCTGACAAAACGAGATGTGTCTCGGTGGTGCAGTCCTCCGGAATGTGCGCGGATAGCCTTGCGCTTCAGTGCATGTGTTCTCCAAAGCTCCCAGAGGGTGCAAAGACGGCAAACGACGAAGCAAGGGTGAAACGGCGCTTCGCAGGGACCGAATGGACTGGCGGTGAGCGTGTGCACAAGCGCTCCTCGTCTTGGACTTTTCACTGCTTCTTCAGCAGTATCCTCTCCTCACTGAGCAGCAGCCTGTGCGCCGTTCATCCTCACACACAGATATCGGAATGGATGCGCGCGCGCACACACGCACACAACAAGGTGCTCCCTCCGTCCACCTCCTCGCCAGCAGCTACACTGAGGGACAGAAGCAAAATCAGTTTGAACAAAGAGGCAAGCGGTGACAGGCAGACGGCTCCAGCGCCCCCATTCAAATAGGGGGAAACATGCGTGGTGATGTGGGTGGTAGGAGGAGGATGGGGGATGGAAAAGAGGAGTGGGGGTATACTTTATATGAGCAGAATCTGATTCCTCCATAAACCTCATAGGCTGATCAGGTGTCAGTGAATTGAACTGAAATTTGCCCGTGATCTTACAATAGCCCCGGTATATCCTCATGTCACAGCCTTTACCCTGTGTCTTTGCAAACCTCTCATAAATCATGACAACTCCTGTGGTCACACATGGCCCTCAGAATTTATACTGTAATGAGACAAAATATCAACCATACTATATCTGTCCAGTTAGTGTGTGTAGGAATAACAGTTCCCTGATGCTGAACAGAATTTACTGTAACAACTGCTGGGCATAAACACAGCTGTTTCAGATTCTTCTCACAGTCTGACAACAACCAACTTTTCATTACTGCAGCAGGGTCGGGAGAAACCAAAAAAGCATCAGTCTTCATTAGCACATTATAAAGAGAAAGTAAGATAGCTTGTTTGTTGCTGATGGGAGCTGTGACCAGGGCTGTCTGACCACAGGTTTAGCTCCTACACTGATTTCTCTCAGTGATAAAGGGAATGGAGGAGCAGCAGACTCCTCTTTGTTATTCATCATGTTGTAGGTCTGCAGTCTGTTTCTCTGTGCTCAAGATGGTTTTGAATTATGCATCTTTCCTTGTGTAATGGGGGCAGGAGTTGGTTTTGGAATCTTAATAGAATCACTAATCACAGTAACCAGGATGACAACAATAAAATCTTTATTTATAGGAAGTCCCTCTCATTCACATATTAAGTTTTTTTGGAGGATTGAAGCATTTCTCAGGCTCTGGTGTTTGAGCTGAAATGTTCTTCTCAAACTTTAGATGTGTAGGCATTAAATAGTAAAAATTAAAGTCAAAGAGAGCACTTCTCCTGGCAGTCAGGCATGTGAATCCTACGTTATTACAGTAAATGTTAGCAAACCTTACACATTCAGTAGATATGGAGCAACATGAGCGTTCATTTAGACTTGTGTAGCGATGTAGCAAATATAAATGCTGTTTTAGTTGCTGGGCAGATAGCATACAGTGCGTCGCTCAACAGTTGGCCGAAGCTGCTTCTGGAAACAACACTGGTGAGAGCAAACCAAAAGACTAATGTCCTAGACTCAAACCTCAAAAGAATGAGCTGGAAGATGCTTCACAGCTCTGTTGAGCAGAGGGGAACTGCAGAGTTGTGTGATAATTCTAACAGTATACATTATACATAGTCTTTTTTCCACTGTCAATACAAAAATGTGAATTAGAGAAGCTATAAAGGGAAATAAGAGTGAACTTAGATGTCAAGGGGATTAAACTAAAATGTGTTGATGGTGGTGTTACCTGATGTCTTTGAAATTCTGAGACATCTGGAGACACAGAAGCTGTGCTGAAACTCTTACCATACGGTGATGTGAAATACGATGCAGCGTTTCTTTTAAGAAATCAAAAAGTAGAGACACTTCAGAGGAAGTGAAGACATCTACGTAAGTATGGTGCATCTTTATATTGTTGTGTTTTTATGTTCACTGCTGACTGGGGGTGAAACAAGGTTGACTTGTAATTCAGAAGTGATCCTCTGGAACTGAAGCTGAGGGCAGCTCTTCTGTCCACAGTGCAACTGATCAGTTTCAGGTCCACTGAGGTACAGGGTTTTCCAATAACAGGTATTGATCCAGTCCATTACTGTTATTGCACAGAGTAGATCTCCACTTTGTGATCTTCTGACTTAAATATTATAAAGATTTATGGACTTTGTCTGATTTCCCTCTTGCAACATGCTTTCTGCAGCACCTGACAAGGATGTAAGGGAAGATATTGGATAAGTGCACCTCTGGCTGACTCCAAAGCGTTTTTGTTTTTTGTCCGTACATAAATCTGCTGGAGCGTGGGTGCAGCACTGTGTAACTAGACACTAACAAAGCCTGAGTCAGATAAACACCTTCTAGGGAAATGTTAATTCATCTAAACACCTCATTATACTCTCTTGATTTTTATGGCTTTTTTGTTTTTGTTTTTTTTTTTTTTTTGCTTCACGTTAATGGCACAAAACAAAAAACTTCCTTCCACAATCTCCATTTCAAATGGAAAAATTCAGATTAAACGAAGCCGTGTGACGTCTCAGGGAACCTATTTTTGTCATATTTAGTGTGTAAACATTGAAGAATTTGGGTTTGCCTCTAATCCTCTGCGAACATTAGTTCTTGGCTTGGTTTTGTTGGCATTTGAAAACAATAGCATGTTTTGTAATACTTTTGTGAGACCGAAGGAGAATATGCAAATAGCAGTCACTGGCTTACACGCACATACACAGACACACACAGTTAAAGCCTACCGCTGATTCTCCTCATCCAGCCACTGTGTTTCTTTTATGAGCAAACCCATTTACAGGCATGTTTGTTGACAAGCTCTGTGAAAATGATGGGGAAACCAAAGACAAACAGAGCAGTGGGGTAGTCATCTGTTTCTCATTGCATCTCCAGTTCCCTCAGAACAGGAAGAGATGCAGAAACATTAAACACAATTCTGAGAGTTTTACTGTCAAGGCCTCAGGGAACTGCTCCAGGGAGCTCATCTGAACATGTGGAAATACCTCGAGATCATCAGCACTCTAGGTCTGATGCAGATTTTACTGAATAAAAATGTTTGCTCTTTGCTTTATTGATTTGCTTTATGGCTGCACAGCTGCATCAGAGCAAATGTGGTACTGACAAAATATTCTAAATTATGAATGCTAAACATATATTTAAAGAATTTCAAAAATATATTTAATATATTTCAGAAAGTGAAAACAAATATCTGAGGCTGCCTGTACTCAGAGTTTATGAGATTAAATATTGGATTAAAGTTTTATTGCACATCCATATTGTGCATGCACTGCAAATAGTCACCAATTCTTCTCCACACACACACACACACACACACACACACACACACACACACACACACACACACACACACACACACACACACACACACACACACACACACACACACACACATACACACAGGTTTGGCTCAGCCTTAATGTGAGCTGTGACTTTTAGAAATGTCAGGCTCCTCGCCAAACAGACAAACAATGTCAATCACTCTCCAGCAAGGGAGCAGCCATCCACACACAATGGAGAACACAGAATACCCAAGGGAAGCTGGATGAGGATGGTGACACAAAAATGACTTCTGGAAAGCTATTATAGCATTCTGACAGGAGCAAAATAACACAGCCAAGAAATGCACGCTGCCCTTGGTAGAAAACAGAGAACGTAATGAGGCTTACAGTAGCATCACGATTTGTCCAAGTTGGACGAAATGTGTGGGGTGTTCAGGCTGTCTTTGCTAATTATTTACTGGGCAGACTCATTCTTCATGTATTTGGTTTTATGGTGATGCTGTTAATGCGACGAGATCAAACAAGCCACATTAAGAGAGGAGAGGCAGGATATTTCCCAGTAGAGAGGAGTCTAAACTGATATTATAAACTCCTGTGATTGTGCTGATAGGGCAGTTGTTCAGAATTGGATTAGCCACCAAATCATGTTTCCAAGTCATGAGGCCCGGTATGAGCAGCACCAGGGTAGAAGTGGAGGGAGATGCTGTGGACGCTGATGCTAACAACAGAGAACTTCCATACTGTCCAACCACAGGTCTACCAGTTTATGATGGCATTTTACTTGTCATGTCTGAAGGTTTTCCAACAATTTCACATATTGAGACAGTTAGTCATTTGTCATATGCACAGTTAGGAAATGTGTTTCCCTGTACAATGAAATTCTTACTGTGCCATCCACATGAATGCCACAGAATACAAATGAAATATAAAGTAGATAAATAAGTAACACTAAATCTAAGGCACTTTAAGCAGCAAATGCAGCAATATAATAAAAATATATAAGAATATAATA